CTTTCACTCCACAGTTTTCTCTGATCTCGTGAAAATGTCCATACACAGTTGAGTACAGCACTTGGCCAAAGACTCAAGGGGCCTCTCTGGATCTCTGGAACCCTGTCTCTATGCAGCTCTGGTGTCTGGCATCTGTATCCCAGGGCCTGGTTCCCTGGGCTCACCAAGTAGGAATCATAGTGTTTCCCTCATTTGTATGTCTTCTGGGACCATGGTCCTGTGCTAAGTGGGGTCTAATACCTGAGAAGTTGTTTGGTCCTGTTTTCTAATGGCTTCTGGCTGGAGGGCACTTCTCATGCAGTTGATCTTTCATATGCTATATAGTAGTTATTTTTTTTAATCTTTGTTTCCATTAAAAAATAATATTTAAATACAGTCTTTGTAATGGGTTGATCTTTTAGGTAAGGTCTGCACCTTCGCAGCCTTTGTCAAAGTTAGAAAAATTTGGTTTCAATTTTTTTTAAAAGTAGGATAGGAATGATATCATGTCAGTTTCTCTGGCAAGCTTTCAGCAAACACATTTTCCACCACATTTTTGATGTCTGAACTATCAGTGAAGTATTTTCCTATGTTATTTGTAAGGTTTCTGTCAAGGCTCACAGAACATTAATTCTAGCCAGGCATTGTGTATGAGGTTTATTTTCAAGCACATACAATTTGATGTCTTCCACAAGAGTACGTAATTTAGAGTTGCTTGAGTATTTTAGGCCGGTGAATACTATTGGATACCTGAGGATGCTGGCAGCTATAATCCTTAGTTCAAAAATATGTTTAACTCCTAATGGAAATACACATTGGTAGAAGGAAATTTTCTTTGTATCTGGAAGTAAGACTCCAACTCCAGAATATTGTCAGCCAAATCTGGGAGCTCCAAAAGCATGGCTAGTTCTTACATTGCTTGGTAATTCCTGTTATGTAGGAATCAGTCTGATTTAAGATTGCCTGGTGGTTGATCTTTTATTAAAGTCAGTGTAGATGTCAGTTTTAGGAGACTCTTTCTCACTGCATCTAATTTGAAATTTAGATGTCTTGTTCAATAAGGGCAAACAAAACAAAACAAAAACACAATCAAACAAAGAACCATACATCCAATTCATTAGTACTGCTAATTAAAAGAACTTGCATCTTTTCTCTCAAGGTCTGGTGGTGTGAGCTAACTGAAGCCAGGTTTGTTGTTAGTCACTGTTGTCTTCCCAATATAGTAGATGTTGGGGCCTCCAGTAATTACATGGAGGTGAAGGCCCTTGGCCTCTTCCCCCACTTACACCAGACGTGGAGGTAAGGGTCCTCAGCCTCTTCCCCCACTTATACCAGGTGTGGATGTGAGGACCCTCAGCCTTCCCCCCACACACCAGGTGTGCAGGTGAGGGCTCCCAGCCTTTTCCCCCACTTACACCAGACATGGAGATAAGGGCCTTCAGCCTCTTCACTCTCTTACACCAAGCATGGAGATGAGGGCCCTCAGCCTCTTCCCCTTACTTACACCAGGCTTGGAGGTGAGGACCCTCAGCCTCTTCTCCCACTTACACCAGGCATGCAGGTAAGGGCTCTCAGCCTCTTTCCCCCATTTACATCGTGTGTGGAAGTGAAGGACCCTCAGCCTCTTCTCTCACTTACATTAGGTATGGAGGTGAGAGCTCCCAGATCCTTCCTGCCACTTAATACCAGGTGTGAAGGTGAGGGCTCTCAACCTCTTTCCCCCACTTATACCAAACTGCTGCACATAGATACTTTTTAGCAGGTAGGTACCCAAACAGTCATGTGAACTCTCCTCTAGCTCATGAAATCCCAGTTCTCTCTCTTTTTGGCATTGTAACAGTTCCTTTTTCAGGGGCTCACTGGAGGCATATGTGACAATGTCATAGAAGCAGTTCACTTTTTAGTTGGAGTCAGGTGACAAAACCCTCAGATAATTGATGGGACAGAGGATGCTTTCAGAATCCTAAGCCTGAAACCACAGTTCTGAGGGTATGGGCTGTTGGGTATGAGGATGTAGGACTGTTGTAGTGAGGGTGTAGGCGACTGACACTTGAGTATAGACTGAAGTGTGGATAGTCTACACACATAAATGCCACTTATCTCTATTTCTCTGGTAAAAATTAATTCTTATACCTCTTGTTGATGGGAGACAAAGGCAGCCAGCTGAGATGCTTTTAGGAAAGGCTGCTGTCTGTGGTATCTCAATTTGTCTTTCTCTCATGCCCGCTGCTGTGGTCTGGATGTATGTGCCCCTCTCCCCCACTTACGGTCATATGTTGAAACCTAAACACCAATGTGGTGGTGGGAGGGCAGCACTTAGGTCATGTGGCGGAACCTTAGTGGATGGGCAGAGTGCTCTCATAAAAGAGGCTTAGGGAGCCTGTTTACTCCCTGCCATGCGAGGAGATCCAGAAAGTGCTATTGTGAGGAATGTACCCTCACCAGCACCAAGCCTGCCAGCACCTTAATCTTGAACTTTTTGGCCTCTAGAGCTGTGAGCAAAGAACTTCTGCTCATCAGTTATCAGTCTTCGGTGTTTTGCTTTAGCAGCTCAAATTGAGACACCAGCTAAGCACCTTCTTAGGGTCTGTGTCAGATGAGGGCACTAAAGTTTTGTCCAGTCATCCCTAAGATGTGTTTGTTAAACCTAACTGCCAGGAACAGGGGAAGGAAAGAATGCATGTCTAAAAACAAGGGCAACTGGTTAGATACCAACATAAAGTCCAGCGGTCAGTCCCTCCAGCTTGTATTTTGACCCTAAGTTTGTATGAATACCTGTTAGCTACATAGCCAATCACTGCCCAACATTATTCCTGTAAATAATGTTTTAGATTTTATAACTGTCCCTGGATATTTCACAGATACTTCTAGAGCTTTATGATTAAAACAAGATGAAAACAAACCCAAACTGACTTCTCAATAGGAAGATAGCAGTGTTTGTTGAGCATCTATTTTCTGCTAGGCCCTGCAGGTGCTGCAAGTAAATTAAGACATAGTCTTTGTCTCCAAGGAGCTCAGATTTTTTTTAAATTTTTTTATTTTTTGAGTTGGAGTCTCACTCTGTCGCCCAGACGAGCGCAGTAGCACACTCCCGGCCACCGCAGCCTCAACCTGCTGGGCTCCAGTGAGCTTTCCGCCTCAGCCTTACAAGTAGCCGGAACTACAGGTGCGTGCCACCACGCCGGGCTAATTTTTATTTATTTATTTATTGTAGAGATGAAGTCTCGCCAAGTTGCTCAGGTGGGTCTTGAACCTGCAGGCTCAGGCAGTTCACTCGCCTCGATCCCCCAAAGTACTGGGATTACAGGCTGAGCCACTGAGCCTGGCCTGAGCTCAGATTTATTAAGGAGTATAGAGGCCAGGCACAATGTCTCATGTCTATAATCCTAGCACTTTGGTAGGCCAAGGATTGCTTGGGCCCAGGAGTTCAAGACCAGCTTGATCAACACAGCAAGACCCTGTTGCTCTCTGTATACTGGGGATGCCAAAAAATATATACACATTTTAAGCAATGTAATCTATGTATTACTTTTAGTTCATCATAATCAGAAGTGTCTGGATGCTGATGGTAACTACTTTGAGCACCACTTGTAATTGTAGAAGTCAAACATGACTTGTATTCATCTACAATTTTAATATAGTTTTTTCCTTTCTTAAAATGTTTATACATTTTTTTGGTACCTTCTGTATATGTAAAATAAAAAGGAGGGTAGAAGCCCAACATAAATTGTTGTAATTCAAGACAAATCAACTACTATAAGAGAAGAAGAAAGGACTTTGCATCTGCTATCAGTCAGGTTTGGAGTTGCTTCCCTCTGAGAATCATTAACAGGTTATCATCCTTTGGAAGCCAGATCAAACCTGTCACAGATAAATTACACTGCCAAGGACAGCGTTCAGTTACTAGGCAACACTCCTACCATGAGGCATTTCTCTTTTCCAGGGCTTTGGGTCCTGAGTCTGAGGAGTCATCCAGAAGTAAAGGAATCTCTTTATGAGAGCTGCTTTTTTGGCTCGTATCTTAGGCTTTCTAAATTCCTGGCTGAATCTCATTTTAGCCATGAGAAGTGCAGTTAGGTGTATAGCAGAAATGCTTACACTTTCCTTCCATTAAGTAGCTTAGTGACCCGCCTTTACTTTTCTTACCTTTAAAAATAAACCCACTGTGGGAACTTTGCTGTCTTCTCAATAAATCCTGCTTTCTCAAAATAAATAAATAAGCCGTCAAGTCTGTGAGTGCTGTTGACAGAGACACGTAAGGACAGCCTGATAAAGGAAGTTGAATTACTGCACTGTAATGCACTGATTAATACTTCTTAACAAGAAATGTAATTGGACATTTATTAGTCATCTTGTATCTCAGTTCTTGAATTGTTTAAAACTTATTGAACTTTTCATTAGTTTTGAATAGTTACAGGGACAATAAGGAGAGTACGTTCTTTAACTGAGCTTAAGGAAATAACTTTTGCTGTTTTTTCAGTTTTATGCTCACTAAACATTGGCCACCATAATGTGTGCTGTTAATTATAGAGTAAATAACATTTATTGCACATGTCAGAAAGTGGATTAAAAATTTTAAAAGTGTTTATCAAGATGCTCTTATGCTAAGTAAGGAGGACAGTTTTGAGCATCTTAACAAATTTTTCCAGTTAATTGCATAGCTTTTCATGTTGATACCACTGCATGCTCTGCCAATGCTGAAAGACTGTTTGGTTCTGAAAGACTGTTTGGTTCTGTTCCTGGCAATACAGAACAAAAATAAAAAGAGAACGTTGTCACCATCACTTCCCATCCATGTTCTCGTTTTTGGTGTTGAGCAGCTGTCCTCTTGCATCAGTCTATTTAACAGCACCAGTGTTAATGAAATACAGATGAATTTTCAGTCCACTTCTTTTGGTTTGATTTTCTACCAAAATGCTAATTTTTGTCATAATGTTACTGGAATGTTTCTAGTTCCTAAATTTGTTTTGTATTTCCTTATGAATTTATATTTTGGCTAATTATGTTTTATTCTTTTATAGGAATTTTAAACAGCTATCGAGTGAGATGGAATTTATGACAATTAATGGGACAACGTTAAGGAACTTGGAAATTCTACAGAATCAGGTCAGGTACACATAAAGCCTAGTTGATTCAAAATAGTTTTGGGACAGTTTGGAGTAAGTCTGTTCCTTAGAACAGGTTCAAGTGAAAATAATACTAGCATCTTCTGCAGACTGCCTGCCTGTCATCTATTTATTGCTTGGGAACTGCACCATTGACTTTTTGGAGAATGAAATACACAAACTATTTCCTTGGGGCTTTTTATTTTTTTTTTTTGGTTGCTATGGAACTGTTTTTTTAGTGACTGAGGGAGTGCTCATCTTGACAATTCCTCTGTTGTCATTTTTATGTCAAGTATTTCTTTGGAAAGGTGTCATCATTGAAAATGAATAGGAAGTCGATTTTTTTGGTTGCTTGATTTTATTTTTTCTACATGCTGTTAATTTTTGTTAAAATGTTTATTGTCTTATTTCATTATCCAGCATATCAAAGAAGTTACTGGGATATTCATTTTAACTCTAAGATATATATTTCATTTCACAAACTTTCATCATTGCTTAGTTGTCCTTTATTGCTGAATTAAGATGATAATGGAAATGTTAAAGTTACTGCTTTCGTATATTAAATTATCACTGGAAAGATGAGATATTATGTTGTAAAGTTAATGTTATCGTGACAAAGTCAGACATAAACAGCAATTGCAGTTCATATGATCCAGTGGGGGCGAGCCTGAGCTATCAGAGTCATGGGTTTGAGGCTCTTGAGAAATATTTGATACTGTTGCGAGTTGAACCTTAAATTCATCATCCTAACTCCTGGATCCAGATATTGTTAACTAGTTTCTCCCTCTTCCAGTCTGCACTAGTATAGGAGTCAGACTTATTTTTGTTCAGTAACATTTTTTTTTTTTGAGTTGGAGTCTCACTATGTCGCCCAGGCTGGAGTGCAGTGACACACTCAAGGCCACCCCAGCGTCGACCTGCTGGGCTCTGGCGATCCATCCGCTTCAGCCTTCCAAGTAGCTGGAACTACAGGTGCACGCTACCACACCCAGCTAATTTTTTTTTTTTTTTTTTTTGTAGAAACAAGGTCTCGCCAGCTTTCCCAGGCTGGTCTAAAACCTGTGGACTCAGGCAATTCACTCTCCTCAGCCTCCCAAAGTGAGTTGAGCCACCAAACTCAGCTTTCAGTAACATTTTTATCTTGTTATTTTGTCATCCAGAAGCTGTACCTCTGTCCTGCGGGTCTCTCATCTACCCGACACTTGGCCCCATGGTAGGAAGCAAGCAGTAGGAGTAGGAGGGCATTTCTTGACTGAGGAGAACTTGGCCTGCAGACGCCTGGCATTCCAAGCTTTTTTGGTTCTGCCGTGTCTTCCTATTCCAATCCTGCAGTAGCCAGTCAGTTCTGAAATTGGTTCCTAAGGTAGAGATCATCTAGACTCAAGATGCCCCTCAGAGTCCCATCCACTACTGGGACTCAGGCCACTGTGCACGAGCATGTTCTGCTTGTCTTTGTGCCTTGGCTTTGACCTCCCTCTGCATGGATTGAGAGAGGAGTGATGGGTGGGACTGGACATCAGTGAGAGTACAGGTAAAAGCAGTAGGGCATGTGTCACCCCCTTAGCTGAGCCTCTCCAGTGATGATTCCCTCCAGGTCCTCTTCATGGGACCTTTTGCTCCAATCGTTCCTGTCTCCGGACTGTGTAGCACTGTTGCTGGTCTGGACTCTGTCCTCCTGGTCTCTCTGCCCCACCCCATCCCTCTGCCTCTTTGGTCTCTCAGTCTGTGTCTATGCCCCTCAGGTTCCTATGGCCTCTCCCCTGTCCTTTGAACCTCACCCTGATCCCTCTGGTCCCTGGTCCACTCTGGATGCCACCCCCCCCACCTCTCTATCTCCCAGGTCCCTCTGGCCATCCCTTTCTCTTGGCCCTCACCCTGGTTCTTCTGTGTCCCTCTGCCCCCAGGACCCTGGGCTCCCCCATTCTTTTGTAACTTTCCCATCCCTCTCCCCCTCCATTCTCCTGTCTACCCGGTCCCCTCTGCCTACTCCCCTTGGTTGCTCTGACTCCCTCTTGGTCTCTCTATCCTCACCATCTGCTCTGCCCCCCCCATCCCTCTGCCTTCCCTGTCTCGTGGGTCCCCTCGGTTCCCTCTGCCCCCTCCCAGTTGCTCTGCCCCTCCTGTCTCTCTGCCACCTCATCCTTCTCCCTCCCCCTCATCTTTCCTTCCCTGGTCCCTCTGCTCACCCCGTGCCTCTGTCCTTCTGCCTCCCCTGTGCCCCTGGTCCCTTCTGTCCCCTTTGACCGCTCTGCCCCTCCTGTCTCTCTACCCCTCCTCCCCATCCTTTTCTCCCCTGGTCCCTCTACCTGTGCAGCCCATCCTCAGGGGAGCCTGTGAACACTGTGCCTTTTCTGTGCTCGCATTAAATGTCTAAGGCTGGGAGCTTATGTCACACCTTTTCCAGTTGCTTCCTACCAGGTAGATACTGCCTCCTAGTTATGAGTCTTTGCCCAGACTTGGTTGCAAGCACCTGAGGGAGGACTGTGTTGTTTCTATTATCAGTACATAGGAGGTGCTTTGTAAGGAGCTGCTTACAGAGAAAGAAACAAAAAGCAAACCCAGCTCATGTGGAAACAGCAAATAGCATGGTTAAAATCAACTGTTATCTCTAGTTCATTGTGGCTTTTGTTTTAGGACTCAACTTTTATGTGACAAAGGCAACATTTACTTAGGAATTTAATAAAACAGATCCAAATAAAATTCTTCCAGGGTCAATACCTGGAGTACAGTGCAGGTTCGTGTTCACCTCTTGCACCTTCTTCTTGCTCAGTGTTGTCACAAGAGCATCTGTCTATAAAATGGTAACTCTAATTCACCAAAGGGAAATTAAGATATTTTTACTAGAGTGTATTTCCCAAGACAGGAATGTGTGCAGTTACATTTGTATTTATTTATTTTTAATCTATCTATTTCACACTGAAACAATTGTATTTTAAGATGCTTAGGACTAATATCCATTTCAAGAGTCTTCTGAGTAATTTACTCTTAGTTAACCATAAACTATGCAGGCTATCACTTTTTTGTCTAAAAATGTCAATACTTTGTGTGTATATTCATCAAATAGTAAATGAACACCTGTTATGAACCATACATTGTGCTGGGCATATATAACATTTAAAATTGGAGTATATGAAATAATTAGGGCTCATGAATAACATGATTTGGCACAAATATAACTGTCTAGTTAATAAAACTTGTTTTTTGGTCTTTTTTAGACTGATATGAAAACCAAAGGAAGTCTGTTTTGGGTTTTAGACCACACCAAAACTTCATTTGGAAGACGGAAATTAAAGAAGTGGGTGACCCGGCCACTCCTTAAATTAAGGTAAAAGAATTCTTTTTTGTGTACTTAATATGAAATTGTGAAATTAAAGGTGTGTTAGCATCCTTAAAACCACAGGTACCATGGTTTATAAGCACACAGTTTTAATTTGGGAAATATTTGCTTTGTACTGGCAGTACACTGATGTTACAAGGATATTTCCTTATGCCCTAGAAGGAGCTGCTTGCAGATTGCAAGACAAAGGATGTTGTGCAGGGGTAGTGAGTTACCAACTAGTTTGGGTCATTAGTAGCATGGAGAAGGAGCCAGAGGGGAGCTGGAAAGTTAGATGGGGCCTTCTGTGGAGCTTTGAAGTCAAGGCTGAGGAGTTGATGGCCTAAGGGAGGTAATTCAGTGATTCTGAGCTTAGGCTTGATGTGGTCAGAGGGGGCTCATGTTAGGAGGGACTCAATGAGGGTTATCAGGAAGTTCATGGAGAGGTGCTCAGGGCCTGAGCTGAAGCAGTAGCAGCAGGGAGCCCAAGAGAGGCGCTGGTGTGAAACACTTAGGAGGGGAACTAGGAGTTTCTTGAGGGAGGGCATTGAGTCCAGTGCCTGAAACGTAGTGATTTCCAAGCCTATCTGCATGTGGGAATCATTAAGAGCTTCACAAAATGCTGACGCTGTGTCCCATCCACAAATGTTGTGATTTAGCTGGTCTCCAGTGTGGCCAGGGAGTTGGAGTTTTAAAACTTCCCAGCCGGACTCAGTGGCTCAGCCTGTAATCCCAGCACTTTAGGAAGCTGAGGCGAGTGGATTGCCTGAGCCCATGGGTTCAAGACCAGCCCAGGCAACTTGGTGATACCTCTTCTCTATGATAAACCAAAAATTAGCCGGGCGTGGTAGCGCACGCCTGTAGTTATGGCTACTTGGAAGGCTGGGGCAGAAGGATTGCTGGACCCCAGCAGGTCGATGCTGGGGTGTCTGTGCACGTGCCACTGCCCTCCAGCCTGGGCAATGGAATGAGATTCACAAAAAAAACCAAAAAAGTTTCCCACATAGTTTTTGTTATGCATGTAAATGTGGGGACTCTGACCTGGAACATAGCCTGGCACTGGCTAGGAGTATAGTTAGTGTTCCCAGAATGAATGCTGTTATTATTGAGCACCTGTTGTGTTTAGTACTGAAGATCACCCTCTGGTATAAGTACTTGAGATGAGGAAACTGGCTCAGAGAGCTTCAGCCTTGTGCTCAGTGCTTCACTGGGAGAGGTAAGTCCCAGGTTCAAACCAGCATTGATTCCAGAGACTTGTCCTGAGTGGTTGCCAAGAGGAGGGGTATGGTGTGATGAGAATTGCTGCGTTGGCTCTGCTCGCTGAGTGTGGTGTTCCTCAGTGCTCTCACCCTGGATAGTGGGCTGCCTCATTCCTGGTGGTGGGAGTTAATGGGAGGAAATTGCCTTGAACTTCCTGTCATAGTTCATTAATAGTGGTCTAGCACTATTCTAGGAGTTAGAATGTGTCACCGTCCATCCCACCTCTCCTTCCTCCCATCCCAGGGTCCTTCTCTTTAGGAATTTCTGTGACTATAGCTTCTGCCATACTTAACAGAGAAGCCATCCCAGCAGCATCCATGAAAGCTGTTCTTACAGCCTCTGTTGGGTCAGTGATTCCTTTTTCCACCATATTCATAAAATCTCCAGCCACAAGGTCATAACCAACTTCTGTGAAACTGTACGTGATTTTTTCAGCTATCAAAGACCCTGCAACACCTACATTCTTAGCAGTGGTCATTGGAAGAGTTTTTCATGTTCTTTTAATCATTTCTGTGCCAATTTTTTGGTCTTCATGAGCTGGAGCTAATGAATCCATGGCTGGGATACACTGAAGTAGGGACAACCCAACCCAGAACAGTCCTCCTTCCAGAGAGCTCTTATAGCTTTAAGGGTGTCCGAGACCCTGAATTTCATCTTGTTTGCCCCAGTGTCATCCATCCCATCAGCCTCAGCATAGCAGCTCCATCTGAGAGCGTCACACCAGGCATTCATCCAGTTGCTTTTCATATTTACTAGTTGTGACATCAAGCTGCTCGATGATTTCTTGAATACATTTTCCAATTTGAGCCTTGTCACCTTTTCCTTTCAAGAATATAACATCATCTTTGGCCACAATGACCTCCCCAACTTTAACTTTTCCTCCATCCCAAGGCTGAACATCTTCAGGATTTTGAGTCAGCCCCTCTCCTCCAAACACTATCTCAGTGGCAGTAGCCATGTCTTTGAGCTGGTTCTTTGTGTTGTCACCGGAGCCTGGAGATTTGACTGCTACAACCTGAAGACCAACTTTTAGCCTATTCAAACTGAGCATACTTAGAGCTTCTATGTCAACATCTGCAACAGTAACGACCAGGGGCTTGTGGTAAGCATTGGCGGTTTCAGGAGCAGGCACTGTGGACCAGACGCTAGTTTTCTTTTCACTCAGTGGAACATGGACTTCCTGGAATTCACATTTCTGACATTTTAATATATTAATAAAATCCGGAGAAATAGAACCTCTGTCAAACTTAATGCCTTTGGTAATTTCTAATTCTGATACCACTCATTGTTTTTCCTTTCTTTACTGTGATGAAAAAGGAAACACTTTCTTGCAACCTTTTTCATTACATCAGAAATAATGTTGCCCATTTCTTTATCTCTGTTTGCAGAAATTGTAGCAACTTGAGAAGTTACTTGGGGGTTGTCACAAGTTTAGACATTTTAAGTTCAACAGAGGTAGTATTGGACAGCTGACATCACACTGTCTTGATTCCCACAGGATCGGCCACCTTTGCTGATCTTGGAGCCTTCCTGGGCAGAAGACTGTGCCAGTGCAGTGGCCATGGTGCCACCCAGTCGTTTCATTTGTTATCAGCAAGATCTTGAACAAATTTAGCTCCACTTTTTTAATATTTATTTTTTTAAGTGAACTGACTGTGCAACAGTCACATCAGGTCTTGTCACTTTGGGGCTTCCCCAACTCTGTTCAGTAACTGCTGTTCTTCCCTTCGGTCTTTTTGTAATGGTTACAGTATTGGCTAAAAGGTTCACACCTGGAAGCATCAAGGCTCAGGCCTTTGCACCAAGCTTTTCGTCTTTGGCATAGTCCCAAGTGAGAGGAGGAGCCAGAACTCTGGACACTGGTCTCATCTGGCAGAGGACTGTGGGTAATAGGAGCATTTCTGTGGCGTGGTGGCAGTGAGTGTGGGGAGTGCCACCTGTGTTGTTGTTTTTTTTTATAGCAAGTATTCCATACGTGTTTATTTTATTTTTTGTATTTATTTTTGAGTCGCAGTCTCCATCCTAGGCTGGAGCATAGTGGCATAATCACAACTCATGCCAGCCTCAACCTCCTGGGCTCAGGCTATTCTCCCATCTTAGCCTCCCAAGTAGCTGGGACTACAGGTGTGTACCACCTTATTATTTTATTTTTATTTTTGTAGAGATGAAGTCTTGCTGTGTTGCCTAGGCTCAAAAATGCTTATTGAATGGATAATTAAAAGAGCAGATCTTTCTAGACCCAGCTCAGATATCTCTCCGAGAAGTGGTCCCTTTTCTCTTTTCTCCCTCCATGGAAAGTTACCTTCTCTCGGTTTTTGTCCTACTTCTTGCTCCTCCACTCGCGAAACACATGGATGGCCTTGGGGACTGTGCCTTACAGTGTCTGAATACAGTAGGTGACCAATCAATTATGAGGAAAGGGTTTTATTTGAAAATCTTAAGTTTCCAAATAAGCTCTGAAAATCATGGCATACCACTATGAGGAAAGTTAATTTTTCTGAGAAAATTGATTTTAAAGGAACCTTAGAAAAGGCGGTATTTCTTTATATAATTCCTTGTTTTAGTTCTACAGAATTGGTTGGGAAAGGTAGTTTCTTCTCTTTTAGTGGAATAGTTGCTTGGCCAAGTTTGAAAACAGTGTTATGTAACATAGAAGTGATGTGGAGCATCTTGTGTTCTTGTCAGGTCTCTAGGGGATTGCTGTCAGCTAGAAGTGACCTGGAGGGAGTTGTATAACTGAGGAAGCCAGACTGGGTGATAGGAAGGTGCCATCTTCGATCTGGAGACCTAGTGAGGTCTAAGTGTTGTGTACAATGTCTAGCTCAAAACTCTAAACACATCTGTGTTGGAGTTTATTGACTCAGAAATATCTGGGGGCTCTGGTTTTCTATGGCTTTTCAAGGCTATGCTTCTATAGTTTGAATTTCATGATGGGTAGTTTAGATGGTGTATTTGTTTTCTAGGGCTGCTGTAATACAGTGCAACACACTGGACAGCTAAACAACAAACTTACTGTTTCATAGTTTTGGAGACTAAAAGCCCAAGACCCGGTGTCAGTGGGATTGGTTCTTTTTGGGGCCTGTCAGGGAGAATCTGGCCCAGCCTCTCTCCTGGCTTCTGGTGGGTGGTTGGCAATCCAGACCAGCCTGACTCACCTCCAGTGAGGCCTAGACCAGTCCAGGTGACCTGCAGTGAGGTCTAGACAAGCCCAACTGACCTCCAGTGAGGTGAGGTCCAACCTAGCTCAACCCAGATGACTTCCAGTGAGAGCCAAACCAAACCAGATGACCTCTATTGAGAACCATACCAGCGCTGATGACCCCTGGTAAATGGCAACCTTCATTTGGCTGCTGAGGGGAAGTACAGGAGAGAATGAGGAGACATGTATCTTTTCCTTCTTGGCTCTTCCTGCTTCCTCTTTCTCCATCTTTATGTCTTTATTCATAAGGATTTTCTGGAATATTTCTCCTTGAAGTCCTTTGAGGGGACTTCATTTTCTGTGGTTTTAATGTCATAAAATGTTTCCCTCTGTGAAATCTCTAGATATGCTGGAAAAGTATAACAAATATCCTCTTAGTTAGCTAAACTTTATAAAACAACAGGGTAAAAACTTGGAACAGATTGGAAGAGGAACTTGACTGCTGCTGCTGTCCTCTGGCCTCCTGTGCCAAGGGAAGGGTGGGTTTTACTTGCCTTGTGGGAGGCAAGAGACAAGGTCTTGGGACCATTTAGGTTGCAGAGTCTCTAGC